CAAACAATTGTCAAACCATTCGGTAATTCATTACACTTCTATTTAAAATAGGCAGTAAATTGTAATATTAACTCAAAGCTATATTACTGTCTTATATTTGGTAGAATTGAAGTTTTGAAACCACAAAAAATATGTTTAGTTGTGTGTGCTCATTGGACAAAATCGTGGTTATGATCTGTTCAGCCAATGAATGTTGAGAGTCCCTCGTTTGAATCTGAGCGCCAGCTGCTCCAGGAGAGCGTTCACACAGCATCATATCGGAAGATACAAGCTTGGCTGCCCCGAAGACCCTGATCACACCATGTTTAGCACCGAGGTAATGTCTTGATTTTATTTTCTCAAATACCTGCTGCTTTGCTGGGAGAGAAAACGGCTTACTTTGCATTTAGTTACTTTATTATGGATAGCAGTCTTAGTAGCAGTAAGCTAATAGTAGTAAGCTAAGTGATTTAGTGCAAGCTAATAGCAGGTTAAGCTAAGTTGACTAAGTGTACGGATTTAATGTTTTCAAAACAATACCACAGCTGAAGAGTTAACCCCAGAGTTGCCAGGGATCGCTGTTGCGTCACCAAATTGGGCTTGTTTGAAAACGGCAGTAGCGGCCAAATCGACTGATTACAGACAGAAAATGAATGGCCTAGGAGTGTTTGAATAGCTATAAACCTGAGGACAGAGAGCGCAGGCAGAGAGAGGTTCGTGGTTTTCCCGCCAAATCGGGCTTGTTTGAAAATGTAGTCACGAGTGACGTTTTGAAAGTCGTGTGGTGCGGCGGTGTTTTGGGCTCCTTTCAAAATGAACCGCGGCCGAGGAATCGCTGTATGAGTGTTTGAATAGCCGTAAACTTGAGGACACACAGGCAGGTACAGTACAGTATAGCTGAGAGAGAGAGAGAGAGAGAGAGATACGCAGTAAACGTTAGCTATAAAAGTAAATGCAAACAGAGAAATTTAAAAGTTTACTGATGTCTATCGGGAGTATTTGGACAAGATATAATATTTAGTGTTTTGTGAAATAATGACTGCAGTAAAGTACCTTAAATAAAGTACTGTGCATGAAGGATTGATTAGATAAGCTGGTGCTGAATCTCTGATGGCTGCCTCCTGTCTATATAGTGCACTATGTCAATTATGGAATTTAGGCTTCTTAGTGCTCTGAAGGTCCTGTAGTGAATTGTGTACACGTGGTTGAATCACCAGTATCTCTTTGTTAGACACAGTATGCAGTGTTTGAGTGCAAGAGCTATAGGTTAAGGCCTATGTTGTGCATTATGTAGGGAGTAGGGAGCCATGTGAGATTCAACCTAGGTATTGGGTGGTATTAGATGATAAAAATTACTGTTTTTTTGTGTGTTTGTATTTAATGTTTTTTTAATAATAACAAAATGTACTCCCCAGATTAATATATTTACGTATAATACATATTGAGAATTATGCATAGTATTGTATGCAATTTACAATTTCTTTTGCAGTCAAATACTTCAAATTTTGAGGCATTTTCAGCTTCTGGTGTGAAGGTTTTAAATACACATTGGGCTGGAGAGTTTTGCTGGACCTGGCAACCCTGGTTACACCTTTAACGAGTTTAGGTAAGTGCATCCGTTAAGTTCAGTTTAGGCAAACAATATCAAACGTTACTTAGTTTGTAGTGGTCATTGTGTTACTGAGCTTATTTAATGTGCTAAGTACACTAAAGTAACAGTAAATGTGAAAGATATTAGCTTTTGATAGAAGTTCAAAGAGCTACATGTAATTATTGTTATCAACCTGACTAGGGTAGTAATGAAAACCCAGTGAAAATGTGTGGGAACTCTACTTAAATAGCAATTACAATTTTAACTTGTTTTGTTTTTTCTGTTGGTTTTTTTTTTTTGGTCACTTCTGTCCTTTATATGTTAGAAAACCTCAGTTCAGTACTGCATCATGAACACATTTTGCTGTGTTCCCACATGTCTTCAGAAGATTCCTAAAGCGAAGGGATGTGACCAAGGTATGTTTTGTGGTTACGTTCACATAACATTTAGAAAATGAAATAATAATGCAGTATGAAGGCTGGAATGTTACTGTTTGTGCTACAGCTAGGCCTGAAAGATTAACTTTTAAAGCTTTTATATTGAAATCGCAAGAGCTACAATATTTATTATAGGAGATATATATTAACATGGTTTAAATGAAGTAATTAACAAATCATACAGAGCTTGTGAACTGCCTGTAGATGAGTTTGACCAAATACATGTGCTGTATATGTGATAACCACTAAATAGTGGTCTTGCTCATTCAGTGTGCAAGCGCCTCAAGCCAGAAAAAGTGGATATTCTGGTCATCTTGGCCAAATTAAGTGATATAAGATAGCTGCATTTAAATTGATGTTGCAAAAATCACAATTAGATATTTTCCACAAATCGTTCAGCCCGAGCTGCAGTTTGCACATACTATGCTTCAAGATTAGTTTTTTATTTTTGAGAAATTTGTCAAAAAGGCTATATCATCAAATTGCTGCTTATTATGCCTATCAGACAACAAACCAGAGTTACAATGACAGAGCAGAGTGGCAAATCAGTCATCCAAAGTCAGTCTGCATGCTGAATTGCTTAATAAGGGAAGAGGATGCATCAGGTTACAGGCTAAAACTGATAAATGTTTGATTTTGTTTTTTCACAGATGAAGCAGTGGCCACTGCTTTAATGGTAGCTAACAAGATCATTGAGAGATCCCAGTGTCCAAAGCCTGGAGTTATGGAACTGTCTTCCTTACGGATGCCTCCTAAGATGACTGTCATTTTTCACAGAGCTGATATTAAAACGTTTATGTAGTGACAGATAAGGGTGAGTGAATAGAGACTGAAGAAAACAAAAGTGCACAGAAATAATGAACAGTGACTATGAGATATTTGATGCAAGCATTGCATATAATTCCCAATCCATAAAATACAAACCCCATTTCCACAAAAGTTGGGACACTTTGTAAAATACAATAAATAACAGAAATCTGTAATTTGTTAATTCTTTTGAATATATATTAACTGAAATATATAAAGAAAAGTTTTCCAGTGTTTTCACTGACCAACTTATTTAAAATACATTTAGAATTGCCTGCAACACACTCAAAAAAAGTTGGGACGGAGGCATGTTTACCACTCTGTTACATTGTCTTTCCTTTTAATAACACTTTTTAATTGTTTGGCACATGAATATACTAATTGTTACAGTTTTGTAAATTGAATTTTTGCCCATTCATGCTTAGAACTTATTGAGTTCTGGCTCAACAGTCTGTGGTTGTTGTCTGATTCTCCTCTTCATGATGTGCCATATATTTTCAATAAGGAGACAGATCTGGACTGCAGGCAGGCCTGTAAAGCACATGCACTCTGTGCTACGAAGTCACGCTGTTGTAGCACATGCAGAATGAGGCCTGGCATTGTCTTGGTGAAATAGTCATGGACTGCCGGGGAATAGACATTATCTTGATGGCAGCATATGTCTCTTTAAAATCCCAATAAATATGTCAGCGGTACTTTCACACATATGCAGGTCACCCATGCCATGGGCACTGTGATGCCCCCATACCATGACAGATGTTGCCGCTTGCACCTTTCACTGACAAAAGTCTGGATGGTTCCTTTCATCTTTTGTATTGAGAACTCGACATCTATTTTTCCCCAAAACAAGCTGAAACATGGACTCATCTGACAACAGCACACATTTTCATTGTCTTTCAGACCATCTGAGATGAGCTTGGGCCAGAGAACTCACCAATGTTTCTTCATAGAATTGATGTACAGCTTTCTTCTTTACAATAGAGTTTTAAAGTTGCATTTCTTGATGTAGTTGCAGACTGTGTTGTCACAACGATTTTCCAAAGTACTCCCTCCCTTCCCATGCAGTGCCGTCTGAGGCCTTGAAGGTCACACACATTCAGCAGTGGTTTCTGGCCTTGCCCTACATGGATTGAGATATCTCCTGATTTCCTGAATCTTTTCAAAATATTATGTACAGTAAATTATGAAAGACACTAAATTCTTTGCAGTCTTGGGGTGAGCAATGTTCTTTTTGAACTGTTTGACAATTCTCTCACAAAAATCCTCTCTTTGCTTGATAAGACTGAGCCTTTGGTGGATGCTTCTTTTATATCCAATCATGATACCCTCACCTGTTACCAATTCACCAGCTTATTGTGGAATGTTTCAAAATGGAGTAACTTGAATATTCTATAATCTTTTCACTCGTTTGCCCCAGTCCCAACTTTTTTTGAGTGTGTTTCAGGCATCATCTTACTGTCATTGTTGAAAATGCCCCTAACAACTGTATGTAGGCCCCTAAGGACTGTAATAACTGTTTGGTTTGTATACTTTTTTGTTGATTTTTGTTAGGAAAAACCTGGAATGATTGACTTTGCCTTTACTTAGTCTAAATTTTTGTTGGATATCACACTTTTGGTTGTGTAAGTTTAATTGTTGGTTACACTTACACTCACTTTTTGGTGATGTTTTTGTATATTTGCCACATTTTCAACTGTATGATTCTTTCTGGCACATGATTAAATGCAGTGTCTTGTTCACACTTTCAATTGGGCTTGTTTGGTGTATCAGGTGGAGATACACAAACATTCTGACAATTGCACTTAAATTGCACCTAAAGGGGCTAAAAAGTAGTGCACTACTTTTCAAAAAGTAGCTAAAAAGTAGCCACTACATTTTTTGGAAAAATAGCTAAACTGTAGCTAGCTAATAATTTTGGGAAAGTAGCTACAAAGTAGCGAGCTACTAATTTTTCAGTAGCTATCCCAACCCTGAACGTGTAACGGTATTAACAACACATTTTATACTTTAAAACATGTTCAACTACAAGTCATTTTACAAACAATGTGATAATTCACTTACAGCGAGGAACAGGGCAAAATAACGGTACAAACACAAACAAGTTAAGCCTATCTAAGCCCCACAGAGCAGCATCAACTGTAGACGTCATGATGAGCAATGAGGGGAAATGGGGGGAATGAATTTACCGTAACACCGGTGCAACAGATTGACATATTCTAATTGCCTCCTGACGCACATCTTTGTTTTCTGATTCTGGTACTCCATAAAACCTCAGATTCCATCGCTGTGAATTGGCTTCAAGCTCTGTGATGCATTGTTCAGCCATGGTCAGTCTCTTTTCCTCGTTGGTAACCCGCTTATCTATGTCCAAGACTTTCTCCTTGTCATGGATCTCAGAACAGGCAAAGTCCAGTGTTTTCTTTAGACCGGTCTAGAAACCGAGCATTGTGTAACTGGAACTTTGCACTGTACCACATGTGGCCTCTACCACCAAATAAAATACAGACTACGCCACTCCCTAGTTATGAAGGGCAGGAGAACCCTGTTTAACAGTACTTTTCCCAGCACAGGTTCACTTAAACATACATAGATCACACAATTGATGTGTTAATAGCATAAGTTTATTAAAGAAAGGTCACATAAAAGAAGTCACTTGTACATGTATAAATATCCCCTTAAAAACACACACACACACACACACACACATACACTGGGTAGCGCTGTCGCCTCACAGCAAGAAAGGCCTGGGTTCGATTCCCGGCCGGGTGACCAGGGTCCTTTCTGTGTGGAGTTTGCCTGTTCTCCCCGTGTCTGCGTGGGTTTCCTCCGGGTACTCCGGTTTCCTCCCACAGTCCAAAAACATGCAGTCAGGCCAATTAGACGTGCTAAAATTGCCCCTAGGTGTGAATGTGTATGTCTGTCTGTCTGTCTGTCTGCCCTGCGATGGACTGGCGACCTGTCCAGGGTGTATCCTGCCTTCCGCCCAATGACAGCTGGGATAGGCTCCAGCACCCCACCGCGACCCAGAAGGATAAGCGGTTTAGATGATGTATGTATGTATGTATACACACTAAGATTTCTGCCTCCTATTATGCTAATAAAATGTCAAAAGCTAAAAAAATACCGGTGGTGTCCTACGGATAGGTACAACCGCACACTGCCCAATATACAGAAAACCACAGCACTCAATACACCCCTAAGTTTGAAAATACACACCCTAAACACACACATACATACATACATACACACATACATACACACACACACACATATACATACATACATTATATATATATATATATATATATATATATATATATATATATATATATATATATATATATATATATACACACACACACACACACATACACACACCTCAACCTTCAGAATAAGTTATGGTACACACCCAAATCACACAGATAAAACTAGGTGGAGCTAGCTGAGCTGCCGATTCCCAAACACCACCGTTCAAATTAAAAAGACCAAGAAACAAAAGGTTCTAAGCCCTAATAAGGGGATACTTAGTACTTGCCAATATAAAAAAATAAAATTACATTCAATTCCACATAAAAAATAGATTTCAACTGTCAATCAGAACTTGACATTTAAAGAAGGTACTGCACTGTGCCCACTTGGCTAAAATGTAAACTCTAATGGCCCCAGGATATTGCACATTCCTCCATTAACAATACAAATGACTAATAACAATAAGAAATATTGGAAACCAACACTTCATTTGAAATAAAACAAAATCCAGAAGGGAAAATAAAACCCATAAAATAGATTAGTCTCCAAACTGGTACCAATTTAAGTAAATAGAACCTTAGGTCATTACTGTATTAAGAAAAACACCAAAAAAGCCATATAAAAGAAAAAATAAAAAGGTGGGAAAAAGGAGACAAAAGGTAGTTTCAATATGTATACACACATATAAATGCTGCAACAGCCTAAACCTCCAGTAAAGTTAAGCTGGAAACCCTATTAGCACCCATAGCCTTGTAGCCTTAGCCCCAGTGATTCTTACAAGCACTGTGTGAAATAGGCACACACATAACCTCTTTGTAGGTTATATCAGTAACTGTGACTGCTGACACCCTTTGGAAGCTCTCCTTCAGGTCACCAGCCTCCACAATTAACTAAACATAATAAATATCCCACAGTAAGAAGCGCTAGCCTGTAGCATTTGGGACTAGAACAAATGCTAAGCCATTTCATTGTATATAAAACACATTAAAACCCCCAACGGCATTGCTTAGCTTTAACAATTGAAAATAGCTACCTGTATCTTTCTGACTGTTTAAGCAGGGCAAACCACCAAGACTTCTTTCAGCTACAGAATCAATGAAAACAACCCTTTAAGCTTCTACACAGAGAAACTACCACAGTGCACATATCAATAAACCTGCTAAAATAATCACCGTTTCCAGTGCGTACACACGAATAAAAGTCGGAACCTCCAAGCTACAGTGGCGTTCTAAGCACGTTGTTTGAACAATGCCGGTTACGGTAAATTCAGTTCCCCCTGTTCCCCCCTCATTGCGCATGTCGAAATCATGACGTCTTCAGTCGACGCTCTTCTGCGGGGCTTAGATAGGCTTAATTCGTTTGTTTTTGTACCGTTATTTCGTCCTATTCCTCGCGGTAAGCGAATTATCGCGTTGTTTGTAAAATGACTTGTAGTTAAACACGTTTTAAAGTATAAAATGTGTTGTTAGCAGATGTTTTAATGCTCAAACACTACGTGGGCTATCTTGCTAATGCTAGCTTTGGCTCCGTTTTCAACTACTCCGAGTAACAGAAGTGAGATTTATTGCGCCATTTCTGATTTAATTACCGTACATGCAGACACATTTTGTTGTTCAGACTTCAGTGATTTTAAGGTGTATTTATGTCCCATATCCTCATCAGTCTCGCTAAGTTATGTAAATAGATTTGAAACATTTGTTGCTGAAATAAATAAACTGCATTAAGCTACACAGCACAGTAATTAGTCTGTGTTAGTATTGTTAGACTACGTATCTCAGTGCACCTAGGAAGTTGGTTTCCCTGTAGTTTTTGAGGCTGAAGTCTTACTGTTATGGTACTAATGTGACTTGTCTTTACAGTAACTTTTATTCATATTTTATAATCTTTAGAACTGAGAATATAGAGAATATAGTGGATTTAAAGTACAGCAATGATGCTGATAATCTATTTCTGTGCATGATCATTTCACTCAGTAACTTTTATTCATATTATACCACCATTACACTGAGAATACAGAGGGAACATCTTTAACCAGAGCCTGAGAAAAGTGGTTTCCCCTTGTATATCACAGCTGGAGTGAATTTAAAGTAGAAGAATGATGCTAATAATCTATTTCTGTGCATGATCATTTCACTCAGTAGCTTTTATTCATATTATACAAACTTTACACAACAACACAATTATTACTCAGTACTTTTATGACCTGTTGTAATATAAGGAAATGATAGGATTATCATAGTACCTTTATGCCCCGTTGAAGTGTAGGGAAAGGAAAACATTTACCAGGAACACTGATCAAATCCCAGTTGTTTACTTCCATTAAACATGGTAACATAGTAACAGATAACATAGCTGTATCAAGAAACATTACAGTGTAGTACACCTGCATGTAGTAATCATTCAATTTGAGAAAAATGGTAAAACATATAATGTATCTTTTTTTTCATTTAATTAACAACAGTTTAAAATTTTTGACCCATTGTAGTTACTGGGAGGACAGAAAAAGCATAGAAAGCATTATGGTATATTGAACTGATCCTATTTTTATCCCTCCTTTTTTTAGGGGCACTAGGTAAATCTGTTCTACCGTTTAGTCTGTATAAAACAATGTTAATGGAAGAAGCAGTTGGAATAAAATAAAAATAAAAACAAATTAATATAATAGTGCATTAAATCTTTAATAGCTGTAATCGACTAGTACACTGAGAATGCTGTTCCATCTGTATTCTCAGTGTAAAGTAGGTATAATATGAATAAAAGTTACTGAGTGAAATGATCATGCACAGATATAGATTATCAGCATCATTGCTGTACATTAAATCCACTCCAGCTGTAATATACAAGGGGAAACCACTTTTCTAAGGCCCTGGTTAAAGATGTTCCCCCTGTATTCTCAGTGTAAAGGTGGTATAATATGAATAAAAGTTACTGAGTGAAATGATCGTGCACAGAAATAGATTATCAGCATCACTGCTGTACTGTAAATCCACTCCAGCTGTAATATACAAGGGGGAACCACTTTTCTCAGGCTCTGGTTAAAGATGTTCCCCCTGTATTCTCAGTTCTAAAGATTATAAAATATGAATAAAAGTTACTGAGCGAAATGATTATGCACAGATATAGATTATCAGCATCATTGTTGTACATTAAATCCACTCCAGCTGTAATATACAAGGGGAAACCACTTTTCTAAGGCCCTGGTTAAAGATGTTCCCCCTGTATTCTCAGTTCTAAAGATTATAAAATATGAATAAAAGTTACTGAGTGAAATGATCATGCACAGAAATAGATTATCAGCATCATTGTTGTACATTAAATCCACTCCAGCTGTAATATACAAGGGGAAACCACTTTTTTCAGGCTCTGGTTAAAGATGTTCCCCCTGTATTCTCAGTTCTAAAGATTATAAAATATGAATAAAAGTTACTGTAAAGACAAGTCACATTAGTACCATAACAGTAAGACTTCAGCCTCAAAAACTACAGGGAAACCAACTTCCTAGGTGCACTGAGATACGTAGTCTAACAATACTAACACAGACTAATTACTGTGCTGTGTAGCTTAATGCAGTTTATTTATTTCAGCAACAATGTTTCAAATCTATTTACATAACTTAGCGAGACTGATGAGGATATGGGACATAAATACACCTTAAAATCACTGAAGTCTGAACAACAAAATGTGTCTGCATGTACGGTAATTAAATCAGAAATGGCGCAATAAATCTCACTTCTGTTACTCGGAGTAGTTGAAAACGGAGCCAAAGCTAGCATTAGCAAGATAGCCCACGTAGTGTTTGAGCATTAAAATATCTGCTAACAACACATTTTATACTTTAAAACGTGTTTAACTACAAGTCATTTTACAAACAACATGATAATTCGCTTACCGCGAGGAATAGGACGAAATAACGGTACAAAAACAAATTATCAGCATCATAACGGTACAAAAACAAATTATCAGCATCATTGTTGTACATTAAATCCACTCCAGCTGTAATATACAAGGGGAAACCACTTTTTTCAGGCTCTGGTTAAAGATGTTCCCCCTGTATTCTCAGTTCTAAAGATTATAAAATATGAATAAAAGTTACTGTAAAGACAAGTCACATTAGTACCATAACAGTAAGACTTCAGCCTCAAAAACTACAGGGAAACCAACTTCCTAGGTGCACTGAGATACGTAGTCTAACAATACTAACACAGACTAATTACTGTGCTGTGTAGCTTAATGCAGTTTATTTATTTCAGCAACAAATGTTTCAAATCTATTTACATAACTTAGCGAGACTGATGAGGATATGGGACATAAATACACCTTAAAATCACTGAAGTCTGAACAACAAAATGTGTCTGCATGTACGGTAATTAAATCAGAAATGGCGCAATAAATCTCACTTCTGTTACTCGGAGTAGTTGAAAACGGAGCCAAAGCT